ATGGCTAAAGTTTGAATCTGCTTAAAATCCGATTTGTATCCAATTTTTATCAGACTGGTGTACTTTGTAATCATTCGTTATATTTATTTGTTTACAGGTGAAAAGACACCATACCCACCTGGTGAGTTATTCTGAAAAATGTTATTTATAGAATCTGTGATGACTTTGTCTAGATGTGTATTCGTAAAACTATTACCAGAGTATCTTAGATCAAGGCGATATTTAAAGAGGCAATAACCAATGATGCCTACAGAAGCCTTCGAAATAAACTTATTGCACTATTCATTGGAATATTACCAGCATTGGTTGCTATGACTTTGCCTTCAATTTTTGAATATTTACAACACTCATTTGCATATTGAAAGTCAAATTTGAAATGAAATACCGGTAGTGAACATGTGGTCAAATATTATTTCACTGCGTTCAAATGTAGAATGTTTGGAAGATTCATTATTTATAAATTTTATACTAATATTGATTGCCCGTATTCGTGATGACCGCTTTAATCTCACAGTGCAAATCAGATGAGTGTAATTCAATTGTGAAAAAAGTAATTTTTTGTTTTTATTTTCACTAGTATGCATACATGTATATTGTTTTTACTAATAAATGTTATTCTCGAAGGTTATTCAAGGTTTAATGAAAGCTCTGCTGATGATGGAATTACGCATAATTTGTCATATTTAAAAAAATTGGGGTCATCGAGATAAACTTGATATTATGTTGGAACTCAAAACTTTAAAATATGATTGGTTCAGTGATGCAAAATGCAACTGTTTTTTTTAAGGCGAATCAAGATAATGAAACAAAACTAAATTTTTTAAAAAGAAAAGAAAAAAAAGTAGGGGTCATGAACCTATTTCTGTTTAGGTGTCGCACTAATTTAGACGTCATGCATGAGTGAAGGCTTTCTTTTGGTTCTAGTCCATATTAAAAATTACTATACACTAAATAATAGTGATTTTAATGTTATATGCATTGTTTTTAATTTTATAGTACAAGTTTCATCTAAGACAAACACGCTATTTCACAGGCAAGATGTTAAATGCGTTATTATTATTATTATTACCCAAGTCATAATTATACATTGCAAAAAATCAATTCATTGATTTGTTGAAATGCAAGTAAAATACAATATTAATAGTTTCACCGTGAGTGAATGATTTTGGTAGCGCTGCAGCACTCAATGTTTTATACAAAAGCTTTTACCTAATAGGTCAAGCCAGATTATGTTAATCATGTTTGTACAGTGTAATTGTCTCGTTCTACGTTGGCAAATCGAGGTCCGAAAATTATTTGATTCAGTTCAAATGACGATTGCTGACCATTGGAATCGCTAACTACACTAATAACGAGCAGAAATTATAGCTTTATAGAGGGGGGCAAGGAGGGGGGGTAGCTGGTACAGTTTAATACGGTAAATAAAAAGGGGCTTTTTACAATTTACAAGGAAACAAAGACGTTTTTACAGTTTACAGTGAAAATTTAATGTTTACAGTTTACAGAGAAAATAAAGGTTATTTTACATTTCACGGGAAAGTAAGAAAGAAAACCTAGAAAAGAAGAAATGTAAAGAAAATGTCATTTCCTTGGATTTTTCTTTACGATTTTTTTATTTGGATGTAAATTCTTGCACGTACCGAGAAAAATGACACATTTTTACAGTGTACGAAAACAATATTTGATTGATTACGTTGTACGTCTAGCCTGTGATTACAGAATTACGGAATTTATTGTTTTAATTTACGTTGTACGAACAAAAAAATATTGCAATTACGTTGAACGAAAATAACCCTTGCCCCCCCCCCTCTTTATATTATCTACAACATAGAACCTTGAATTACAGTGTTGACAGCTTTCCCAGTATCAGATATTGTGACCTCAGCTTGTGATTAACAACACCTTCACAATTTATGGACGTTTATATTCAGTGCATTAGATTTTCTACTATGTTTATGATTATTTAGGTCCTACTGACCCAGTTCAACCAGGATATTACGTACCGCCACCTGGTATGCATGAACAACCACCTCAAGCAGGAACGTATCCCCAGCCTATCATCAGTGGGCATGCCCCACCACCGAGTGGAATGCCATACACACAGCAGCCCCCTCCATCAGGAGGTGCACATTACCAACATACATCACAGACAGTTGTTATTGCACCACAACCATTGACTGCTACATCAGTTGTTGTTCAACTCAACAATCAGCCAGTAGCGATGACATGCCCCTACTGCCAGAAAAGCATTGTTTCTGAAACCTCCTTTGAAGTTGGCACGTGTGCCTGGATTGCTTGTGCTATATGCTGTTTTGTAGGGTAAGCCAATTCTGTATACTTTTAGTTCATGTGCCTGGATTCCTTGTGTTATTTACTGTCTTGTAATTGGTTTGTTCATGTTCATGTGCCATCTTACCTAAAGAATATTAAATTTCTACTTTATCATCAGGTGTGATGCTGGATGTTGTCTGATTCCATTTTGCATGGACGACTTCAAAGATTGCGTGCATAGGTGTCCAAGTTGCCAGTCAGTCTTGGGAAAATGTTCAAGAATGTAATGACCATCGAACACCATCTTTAAATATGAACAGATGAGGAAGAGGCTGCTATGGTAACTATGGTCGCTTCAAGGCCATTAGTTTTACACACCGAACAACATTTGTCTAGTCCTAAAGCAATGTTTGCTCTAAGCATTTTCAGGTAGTCAGATTACTCAGTGAGGTACCCATGTTTCTCAGTGAGGTACCCAGGTTTCTCTGTGAGGTACCCAGGTTTCTCTGTGAGGTACCCAGGTTTCTCAGTGAGGTACCCTGATTTTTCAATGATGTACCCAGGTTTCTCAGTGGTGCACCCAGGTTTCTCAAGTGAGTTAGCCAGGGTACTCAGGGAGGTACCATGGTACACATGTTTCTCAGTGAGGTACCCATGGTTCTCAGTGATGTACGCAGGTTTCTCAATAAGGCACCCAGGTTTCTCAATGGTGTACCCAGGTTTCTCAGTGATGTAGCCAGGTTTCTCAGGGAGGTACCCAGGTTTCTCAGTGAGGTAGCAAGGTTTCTCATGAGGTACCAAGGTTTCTCAGTGAGGTACCCAGGTTTTTCAAAGATGTACCCAGGTTTCTCAGTGAGGTACCCAGGTTTTTCAAAGATGTACCCAGGTTTCTCAGTGAGGTACCCAGGTTTCTCAGTGACTTTGAAAACTTTGAGAAACATTCCATTTAATTTCAAGCATTTTTTATTTAGATACATCTTATTCCACACAGATTTGGACACAATATTTAAATATTATTATAATGAAAAAAACAACGCTTTAAGATGCCCCAATTGTATATGTTTGTGAAAACTACCATGATATGTTACTTTTAGGATATCCTGAAAATGGCCTATTATATTTTCCTGCTTCATAGTGTGTAGAAATGAACAATTGGTTTTCCATATTTTATTAAACTTAAACTTACAATACAAAGTCAACATATTCAGTACAAAACTGAAGCTGCTCTATTTAAAGGGGAACCGCTCAATCCCATGGATTGCACCAAAGAATCATGGGACACTATTGTTTATGTTGTTTACAGTGTTAATCTATCTTTTGTTATCCATTGTTATTTTAATCCAGAAAGTAAATTTGTTGTGAAATTAATCTTACTGGAAGGTGCCCCTTTAAATATCTGCCCAAACTGCATATTAAATGGGACTAGAAATACACCAACATTTGTCATT